ACCCCAGTCAATCGTAATCTAAATCTTTGATCTGTGCGTAAATATAATTAAATTAAATCTGTCCAATTCTTAAGGGTTAAAAATTACAAAACTACCATTTCAGGGTCTTAGTCATGATCAAGTAACTTATATGAAGACCAGAAGCCCCATTCAAAGTTCTGAAAATATTTCAGGCTCCTTCAAACCCTCCAATGTTTTTTTTTCTTAAAAATGTTTTTATTGAGTTCAGAGAGAGGAAGGGAGAGGGAGAGAGAGATAGCAACATCCATGATGAGAGTCATTGATCTGCTGGCTCCCGCACGCCACTTACTGGGAATCAAACCGTGACCTCCTGATTCATAGGTTGACGCTCTACCACTGAGCCATGCCAGCCGGGCAAAACCCAAAACTTTTCAATGACACTGAGGCTGGCACAATATTATTGTTCTCATGCCATAAACATTTTTTATATGCCTGCTTGGAAAATAAGTCATCATAAGAACCATCCTCTCTCATGTCTTTCTAGAACATAAATCACAGAAAATGGGGGGAAAATCTCACTCTGCCTCTTGCTGTTCTTCCAGCTGGAGGATGGCTGTAAGCAGAGAGGAGCCACATCACCTGACCACTGGAGCTGGTGCTCAGACACACCTAGAAGGAGCCTTGCAGGTGGCTCACACAAAACAGGTTTGTCCCACAGGGTTTTCAGGCACCTCTTCTCCAGGCCCCACTAAAATTAATGTAAACCAGTGGGAATATGATTTGTAAACAAAAAAATTATATGTTGTTACAATATAGGTAACCCTTGAACAGCGTGTTTGAACTGCACAGGTCCAATTATATGTGCTTTTTTTCCATAAATATATTGAAAAAATTGTTTTGGAGATTAACGACAATTTGAAAACTTTCAGACAAAGTGCCTAGCCTACAAATATCAAAAAAAATTAAGAAAAAGTTAGGTATTTATCCACAAATGCATAAACTATATGTATGAATTTTCTCTTCCTAATGATTTCCTTATTTCCATAAGGAAATCTCTTCCTTATGATTTATTTTCTCTAGCTTACTTTATTGTACAAATACATATATACAATATAAATATAATATATATGACAGACAAATCTGTTAATCAACTGTTTGTGTTGTCAGTAAGGCTCTGATCAACAGTAGGCTATTAGTAGTTAAGTTTTGGAGGAGTCAAAGTTATACATGGATTTTCTACTGCATTGGGTGGGGGTGGAGGGTAGTGCTTGTAATTGCCATGTCTTTCAAGAGTCCACTGTAAAAGCATGACACCATGGTTGGATCATCAGTGCTACACTTTTTCATAAAAAAGCAACATAACAAAAGTTGTAGAAATCATTGTTTGTGGCACTGTCTTGAAAGGCAAAGCATTTTTTCTTAAAAGAAAGATGTACAGGCAACCAGGAAATGTTAGCAAAGATCGATGAGTGTTCCCACAACAAGTACTTTATTAGGCATTGATTAGAACCAAATACATCCAAAATATTATCAATCACTAAACAGGAAAGGGGTAGCCAAGATAAAAGGTGAAACATGCTGTTAAACTTTTAAAGGAGGCAGATGTTCAAATTTCTTGTTAGAATTGTATTTTTTTCAAAAAGCTTTGATTTACCTCAGAGCAAGGACTTATTATAAATAATTACCAACAATGTTTTCACATTGTGAGTAATTTTTCCCCGTGTTGTCCAGTTGATGTAGCAAATGTAATTCAAAATGCCTATTAGATGGGGATGACAACATCCAAATCTGTTAAATCTAAACTGGGAGAGAGCAGCATTTTAATGAGTGGTTCTGCCGCACACTGTATGGAATGAACTCCAATGAGCACACACTTTCCAAAAACATTCAGGGAGGAATCAAGGACACAGGAAAGCCTACGTAATAACCAATTATCCAAAAAAGGAAGTGAAGTTTTCCACATCTGTAAAGCTTTGCTTATACAATTAACTCTTTGCAACCTGCTGAATTTTTTTAAAGGGGAATAAGTCATAATTAGAATAATAAAAGGGTAGTACATACACATAAATTCGTGTATGTGCAGATCCTGATATTTGTCTATAAAGGATTTATCAAAAATATGAAAAGCTGCCATTACTACTTTAATTGGGAGTGGATTAGGCTAATTCTATTAGTCTAATTCTGCCAGTGAGTCAGTTTTCCCACACATCTAATGTTTAGATGGACAGACACATATACTAGTGCAGCTTTCAGTTCAAACAGCAGCTCCTCAAAGTCTCCCACACTCTCCCTCCAGTTTACTGCCTTCTCAGCTACAAGAACTCGGGGCACACCAGGCCCCCTTTCATAACATCTCTTAAACTGCAGTTAAGCAATTCATTGTGTAAGTGTACACAAGTATGTGAAAGTGTATGAATACATATCCTTAACTGCTTAGTATCAGCCTCCCCCCACCAGTACCTTAAAGCTTTACGAGGAAATTTCTTAGGTTCTGTTCCCTGAATCACATAAACCCAAAGTAAATGTATGATCAATGAATAAGTTACAGTTACTGCTTCATCCACTTCAATCAAGAGCTATCACTGAGCAAGCCTGGGAAAAATAGGTATTTATGAAAGCTGTGCAAAAACAATTCAACTTCCATGCCAGGGACACCGGTGTCCATATCACTGCCCAAGGTGGCCCAGGGACTCCCTTGTTCTTTGCCAATCATTTAGAAATTATTAGATCTCTCTAAATGCAGGATCCTTTCTTTCTACATACCTAGTGGTTGAAGTTAAATTCATTTTATATTAATTACGCGTACTCTTCAGAGGGGAACAATTTTAACCAAAGTGATTTTCAACAAGATATATAAAGTAGACTATATCACATAAGGAAACTTAAGGCATCTTTGGGACATTTGAACTGTAATCGTGAAATTGACATTTCAGTCTCATTCGCCACTTAGCGTCTTGTTTGAGTACAGATCTTTCCATCATTCATGAAATTTGTTCCTAGTCTAGAGGAGGTGGCCTCGCAGTGTGGGCAGGATAGCTTTGCCCCTCTGCCAGGCAGTGTGGGCACACCCTGGGCAGCAGGGGCCCGGGCTGCCCGATCGCAGGAGCCACCAGAACGAGAATCCATTTCTACTATGTTGAGCTGGCTCCTGCCACTTTCAACCTCCTACTTTACTTTCCGCTCAGTCTGTTCTAAGCATCTTTTCCCCACCCCATGACTTTTTCTTACCATGCTTTCTGCTTTCTCACACCATGCTTATTCCTGACTTCCTTCTTTTCTGTCTCCTAGCTTCGCTACCTCGCTCTCTCGTGACCTCAGGCTCTTCAGAGAGGTTAGGACAGGTTCAGTCGCCTTCATCCCTGTTAGGCAAAGTCCTTGTGCAGCCCCCTCAAGGGCACCTGGGAAGTCTACCGATCAGTCACCTGGATCCAGTCAGTTGTGACCAGAGTGGTGACATCAGAGGAAATAAAGTTAATTTGGGCCTCGTGGCCTTGGATAGCAACCCTCTGGAAAAAGACAGTAAGTGTGGCTAGCCTGGGTCAAGAACCAGAAACTAGTTCACTTACAGAACAACCTAATAACTAAAACTGGAATAACTGGAGTTCAGATTTGGCTTTCTGTTAGTCGACTACCTCTTTCATGTTTGCTCCTAAAAAAAAAGTGAAAAGTGGCAGAGGTTAGACTGCCATGGAATAAATACAAAATCAGTAACTGGGTCCTCTCTTCTAATATTGACTTTTCACCCTTTATATCTATTTTCTTATTCTATTTTTCATCAGAACCCTGCTGCTCCCAAATACAAATATAATAGACAAGGGCCTGAGAATTTTGCTCAGAACTCTAGAAAGTAGTCAAGTTCCCACTTGGACTGTATCCAGTTTTCTGCAATCACAAAACTCCTATTCAATCCTGTGTTGGAGAAGCAGATTACATGAAGAAAGGAACAAAGCTTCCCTTTTATCTACTTGTTAATTTATTAAGTCTGAACATGTTTGTAAAAAGTTATTTTGGTAGACTTCTGGTGGTCATGTATGTCTCAATTACTTATGAAACTATCTTCACAAATATTTAAGTTAATAAAATTATAAGCATGGTATATTCTAAACCTAAATTATTTTAGTTTAGAAAAAAATTCTTGCTATGTTATTTATTTATTGTGGCTTGGGTTCCAAAAAGTAGATTTGTTATCATGGAGGGGGGAAAAAATCTTAGAGATAGAAAAATATAGTAAATTCTTCAAATAAATAAATAAGCTATTTTGTAATTTAAAATATCAACCATATGTTTGATGGTTACTATCATACAAATACTCATTTCATACTTTTGGAATATAAAAAAACCCTACAAAGTTCAAGATTAGAAAGAAGTTTATCCTATGAGCAAGTGTCCTAAATGTGTCACATGCAAAGCTTACCAGTTCATAATTAGGAAGCTACGCGCCATCAAGAAGAGACTTTTACAAAATAATACAAAAAAGCTAAGGTTCTAGTCTCAACAGATTTTTTATATCAGGATAAAAATAGGGGCTAACTCATTTTTCTCAACTATGGGAAAATTAGGGAAAAAGGAATTATGTGCTATGATAATGAGCCATTCTTAGCTGACAAATCACAGCATCTCCCCATTTCATGTACTTAATTTCTGCCTTTTCTATGCCTTGCTCCAAACTGTTTCTTTCATATTACAAATTCAAGAAAATTGAAATTGTATTATTGAGGACATATAAGAAATTTAATCTTGAAAAAAGTGAACTACAATGATGTGCTATTGTACTTTGATATAAGATCAGAAAGATACTGAGCCTTAAAAGTATAATATTGTTATCATTTAAAACTAAGTCTATTTGGGGAAGAAGACACATTTTGAATGACTCACTAATCTAAGTGCACTGAAGCGACGTATACCTTTGATGTGATTTGATGTGAGTTGTCACCATAAACCTAAGGCCTAGGGTGTTATCAATGACCCATGCTCCGAGAAAACAAAGTTTAATCACCCATGCTCCAAGAAACCAAGGTGAGAACCAAGAAGTGGGACCATTTTTTTTATATCCTGCATTTATTTAAGCAAACCGAATTGTAGAGATAGGAAATTAAAGCGTTATAATGTTTTACAAATACAGAAAGAAGACACAGAATAATAATACCCTGAAGAGAGTGCATCTGAGAACATAGATCTGTCTCAGGAGAACACCTGCAGTGACCACACAGAAGCCATGGCCGACACATCCATTGTCATTCTTGTTATTACATCGTTCAAGTAGTCTTAACAGATAAATCGGTGATTTGCTTTTAAACAAATAATTTTGATGACGACAGCCTTGAAGGGTTTGTGAGCGACTACGCTACACATACGGGATGCTAGGCTTACGGTGACACTTCACTCTGCTGTCCCACGCAGGGGAAATGATGCCTGCTCACACAACTGCGGTGACAGTCACTAAAATGTGAACTAGTTTGCATAGGTTAGTCCCTTGGGCAGCAGGATGTTGCTCTAGTCCACCAAGGCGTCAAGATTCACAGTGTAGAGGAAAAAAACATGAATTAAAGCGTTTCTACTAAAATATATTTTAATAGCTGGTGTTAACAATTTGCGTGACAGAAGCCAAATTATATTAATAACATCGCGTTGTTCCTCTGTAAGCCCCTTCATTTTGAAAACATGATTTCCTTCAGAACTGAAGCTCTCAAAGTTAGTAAAATCTTGCAAATTAATCATTAACCACAATCCTATAGATTTTTGAAGCAGACAGAAGCCAAACTGCACAATGATTCAGTTTTGCACTTTTACCGCAGGCCTAAGACCAAACAGCTCCCCGCCACGCCTGTGACACACTCGCTGCTTCTAAATGCTCAGCCATTCGTCGTGTGGACACGGGGGACTAAATGGGACTCTAACGCAGATTCCTCTTTTCCTTGAAGTAAATCATTCTTAATAGCAACTGGATTACAAGAAGCATATACTATGCAAACCGAATACCGTATATCAGACACAAAAAGCAGATGGAATTCCCATGAATACACCCAAGTAACATGGACAGCTGGGGAGGACATTTGCGCTGGGGCTCCTTCCAGGCTGGGGGACTCCAGGAGTCTAGAGATCATGGAACGGTGGCCACAGAAGCGTCATCCAACGCCATGATTTCTTTGATCAATAGTTGACAGCTGCCTGGAAAGGACCCTAAAGGGCATGGAATACTTGAGGAGACTTTTCGCTTTAGCATTTGTCTACATAGCTTCTCACTTAACTGAAGCTTTCACATCACTGTGTCACGACACCCGAAACAAGCACACTCCAGCCACTTTCGGATGATCGGAAGGAAATAGCTAAGGTCTAATCAATTTGTGAAGTGAATGCCATCTCGTGCAATGAATTCAGCCTCATGACCTAAGTCTTCTTTCTTACAACAGGTATTTTAAATCTCCAACCGAAAATTAATGTTTGTGCATCTCAACTATATATAAATCTACAGAGAACCTTTCAAAAATTGATGGAAGGAGTCAGTATTTTCTGAAGTTTGAAACCTTTAGAAGTAAAATATAACCAGCTATCGCCCTCCTTATCTGTCAGGAGCATCTCATTCCCCACCATAAAATTACCAATCACGTGTAATAAAATATTACTATAGAGCAGGCAGAAGCTTGCCTGCGTGGTTTTCTTTCCCAGACCATAGTGGATAAACACGGGTAATCAGAAAGGCACCTATTTTTGTATATATCTATATTATAATTTTGGTATAAACTATATCTACTCTATACAGAGATGTGTTATTAAAGGATCACACACATTTTCTTTATCTTTTCATTAAAAACATTCCACTGGAGATGGATGAGCCTAAAAAGGAGATATTACCTCTTCAACTTCCACTGTTTTAGAGAAGTCAGCTTCCCAAGCCCCAGGGTGTTGTCAAGCTCAACACAGAGAAGGTAAGGAAAGAAAGACTGTGGCAAAACTGCATCTTCATCATCTTCAAGCAATGAACCTACTGACAAGGGAGGGCTGGGCTGGGCTCCTCCATCGTCCCCCAAAGTGCTCTTGGACACTGTGCTTGCAAATTCCTGTGTGGTGTCTAGAGGTGGGGGGAGGCCTGAGAAGATGCAGGGACATCAGACAACCAGCTAATATTTCAAATTGGGCTCCACTGCGAATGTGCAGATGGGAAGAAGACACCAAGAAGTCGTTTTTGCCACAGGTGAGAGAGAGAGAGGCTTCCCTAGAAACCAAGAATTCGTAAAAGCATTTACTACAAAAGTGTATTGCTTTTCTCCAGAGAGATATGATCCACGTGCGGTTTGTTTCCGAAACCTTAAAAAGCATATCAAACCGCTCCTTGTGCTTTTATCAGGCTGGAGAACACTGGGTTTAGAAAACCAGGTGCGTGCTCTCTGGGTGCGGGCACTTCCAGTCTTCTGTAACTTGATTTTTAAAAGATGAATTTCTTAGACACTTGTTCAGCTGTCAGCGTTATGTCTGAGATACCTCTCACCAAACTGAAGGTGGGCAGGGGGCGTGATGAAAGGGGGAAAGCTGTTTAAGGATGTCGTTTTGAAAATGATACTGTAAAATAGCACTTTGGTATTATACACCTATTTCTTATATTTCTGCTGAGATGCTTGATATTCTAACAAGCTGTAGTAACAGTGACGACACTGCCAAGTTAGAGTGTTGGGAGCACGTGACATCTTGTTATCCCCCAGTCTTTGCTGTAAAATGACCACCCTCGAGTTAAATTCTGATCCGATCTGAATTCCTAAAGCAGAAACATCTTGCTATGCAAACATTATGTAAAGCTTACAATTTCAGGAGAATTATCCCCCAAATAAGTATTGACTTTTACATTCAATGAGCCTAATTTTGAAATCGGTTGGATGAGAAAAACAATGAAACATCAAGCTGCTGCTTTATGGTAACTTTCTCCATGGTCGTCATCATTTTAAGTCAGTTTCCTTTGTGTTTCCTATAAATGTGCTATTTATCAAAAACTGTACCTGTCCTACATTTAGTCAGCAAATTTAATCAACAACTACTCCTTTTTTATAATCGTGAAAAGAAGTCTGGGTGAAACATAAATATTTACTTAACGATATAACTAAATTGAGCAAGCTTATTTCCCTCACTTTCAACGCACAGAAGTTTTTGCAAGAATAGTGCAAGTTTGGTTTGTGTTTGCAGCCTTGTGTATATGACCTCAAGACTGATGTGGGGTTTAATCAGTGTATTCACGCATAGTTATTTCAATGATAGAAAATCAGTCAAGCTGGTTATTCTGTAAAGATCACTCAAAAAAAATCTCTAGTTATTTGCCTGAATTTTTCTCTCCTCAATTTTATGTTGGTGTCATGTAGATGAAGCTTGCGCATAACAAATTTTATTTTATTTACTCTTTTAGCTGGATAAAATGAAACTACAGATTTCCAAAAGTATTTGCTAACCTTTCAAAATTGTTAATGAATTAACATTTGCCTTTGGACTGATGAACATTTCAATTAAATATACTTTGTTAATTTCTTTGATTATATTGTATAAGGAGATATCCCCAAGACCATAAATTTTATTACACTTTTGTAACTTTGCTTTTTCAGTTTCGTCTCAGCTATAGAGTCAGCTCCTACATGCATGCTACCCTGTTGCAGGTCCCAGTAAATGGCGCAATCAGAAAAACACAGTTGCTGATGGATGTTAATCTCAGGTGAGCTTGACTGTGGACTCGGGTGAAAGTCATGACCTGCCAGCAATGGCTGCAGTCATGGCTGTGAGTCCAGCAAGAAACTGCAAGGTCACTCATTTGAAAAATCAAAATCTGACAATAATTTCATTTTCAGTGAACAATCTGTGGGGCCTGTGCCGAAACCTCTGATGACATTCCTATCTCGCCCCTGAATGTGATTTAGAAAATAAAAAGCAGAAAAGTGAAAATGAAGTCTTTTCATTTACTGGTTTCAGTGGCTACATTTCCATTCCAGAATCTGAATACCTTTTCCAAAATAAGAAACCAGATCCTCTGTGTGTGTGTGTGGAGTCTGTCGGTAACTTTTTGTTCGCTGGTTTTCTCCAGCACACTTCTTACCCCACCTTGTCACTGGCTCCTGTTAAATTTTCTTAACTTTTAAATCAACAGCGGCATTAAGTTAATGAAAGCTGTTCAATAAACAGCTAAATCGCTTATTTACTAGAGTATACATCTATGTCCTAAAGTGTATATCCTTCAAAACTAGAGTGCAGCGCAGCAGGAGAACCTCAAGCAACTTTTCAAAATGTTTTTCTGATGAGCTGGCAACTAGAGGGAAGGCTTTAGGTATCAGCCGCACTTTGCTTTAGTAGGAGTAACAGGCAGTGCAGCTGCCTGGGTTACAGAAGCTTGGACCTACATGTCATGCAACAAGGTAAAGGCTAGTAGGGAAATAATATAGATGGCCTTAAGCTTGCCCTTTGCAGAGTAGCTGTGAAGTGATTTGGTCCTGACATTCTGTGGAGCCAAGCATACATGTGGGTCCACAGAATGTAAATGGAGAGTAGGATATGTCTTGGTACAAGTAAGAAATAAATAGACCCACGGTGGCCAAGGAAACAAAAATATGTCTTTGTTCAGTAGAATTTTCTAGGTCCCTAAAGCCACCAGTCAATATAATTTTACCCAAACTGTCATTCTGCCATTGCTTACATTTATTACATTAGGCGATTTTCACTGGAACTGGAAATTGCCTAATGACTCCAAAGCTACACAGTTTTTAAATTATTGGCTGTGTTACTGAACTACAAGAATTGGCTTCTGGTGATTCCAAAGTGACAGCTAAGAAGTCTCATATACTTGTTACAATTACGGGACAATCAACATCTCTATTAAAGTCTACAAAAATACATTTCCCAGAAGGGGTCAGTAGCCAATCAAAAGAAACCAATGACACAATTAGCAGCACCAGGTCTCCAGACTGAATTATTTCGTTTATAGGAATTACTGAAAATGCTGCTGTTTTCAGCCCAGAAATCATTCCTTCTTTCTGGTACCTGTGTGTCTAATTGTCAAGGTAAGGATAGATTATTGTAAAATAACTGCCAAGTTGTCTTAAAAGTATCTTCTATCTTTTAAAAAGATTAGGTTTAGTATACATTAGAATAAAGCTCAAAGGGCAGGAGAAATAATTAATTAACAAACTCAATGTAATTTGCTGGGAGCATCCCGGTCTTCCCAGTTCTCTGCACCGTGCCGTACATCCAGCCGTCATCGATGGGCTGCACGTTGACAATGTAGTCACCATCCCTGAAGGAGACTTCATCTTCATCCTGGGCACTGTAATCGTACATGGCTCGGTAGGTCCTCTGAGAAAGGAAAGACAGGGTCACACGATGAATACCAAAGTAGCCAAGCCACAAATGCCAATCACAACAAACGAATCCACTCATAAAGTAACTACTAGGAATGTTTCCAAGTACACTGATTTCTGAAGATTTGTACACCAGAGCCTAGTGCCCTAACTATGTTCATTTCAAGTTCATTAAACTAGCAAAAAGCTTAACATTTGGGGGCCAGCGTGGGGATAGAGCAAGCCACTAAATACAATTGCTAGCCTGTCAAAAAGTAAGTTTTGAAGCAGTAAAGCCCAACTACCCCCCAGCTTCGGCTAACCTCAGAGACATTAGATTACGGAGATTCTCCCCCAGACCACAGCCTTGAGGAAACAAAACCTGCTATAGTGGCAGACAGATCCAAGTGACCCCCAAGTCACTACAACTAGCCCCCTGGCAGAGACAATAAACTTTTCTTAAGCAGTTACTAAAAATTTTTGTTTCCTCTTAAAAATATGTAAAACAAATTAAAGGAAAAAATCAATAATATATTCATTGTTTGGCTTTTGTATCAATAGTGGTAGAAACTTAGCATGTTAATGTTCTAAATATTAAGGTACATATAACTAAATCTTTGTTATAATGAGGAAAATGTTCACTTCCTCACTTCTAAACTATGTTACAAAACTATGTCATCAAAACAGTATAGTATTGGCATAAATCAATGGAACAGAATAGAAAGCCCATAAATAAACCTATGCATATGTGGTAAATTGATTTATGACAAATTACCCACGAATATATAGTGGGGAAAGGAGAATCTCTTCAATAAAACGTATTGGGAACACTGGACAGCCACATGCAAAAAAATAAAAATGGACCACTATTTTAAACGATGCACAAAACATTAACTCACAATGGATTAAAGATTTGAATGTAAGAACTGAAACCATAAAATTCCTAGGAATTTAACATTGGTCTTGGCGATAATATTTTTATTTGACACCAAAAGCAAAAGCAAGAGAAACAAAAATAAACAAGTGGGACCAAATCAAACTAAAAAACTTCTGCACAGCAAAAGAAACCATCAACAAAATGAAAAAGCAACCTACCAAAAGGGAGAAAATATTTACAAATCATATCTCTGATAAGAAATTAATATCCAAAATATAAACTGAATTTACTATACTTCTTTTCATTTAAGGTCAAGAGTTCAGCTAATATTAACATCAGACAATCTCAAAATCAAGTGAATTCATAAACTGAGGAAACTGACTGAGACACAAAAATCTCAGAGCAACTGAGATAACTTTCAAGCTTCTAGGGTAGGTGGGGGGGCACCTGTTTCTAAGTCGTCAGGCAAAGGGCCAAGTGACTGCATCAGGAGCTTGGAGAAGCAACTTCAGCAGGAGATGTCACATTTGACTAAATGACCTTGAACTCAGCTTCCAAACTTTACATTTAAGGAATGAATCAATGCTTCTAGATTTCCAATGGGAGGATTCAAAAATATGTTGGCTCTGTCATTTAGGTTTTAGTGGCCATTTTGATTAATGGCCAGATTAACTAGTTAATATGACCAAATATTTGTGCTTTACAGACCTGAATGAAGATCATAATTGGCCAACACCAATCATAAAGTAACAATTAGGATATCGCACTAGTAGATTCTTTTTGTTTTATTGTTTACATGTTTTCACATCACACCTTCCCTTCTCAATGGTTTATCTCTATAAATCTTTTGCTTCCTTCAAAGGGTTATACAAATGATAGTACATCATTTATCCTTTATTTGAAAATTTATATGCCCACTGACAGATGAATAGATAAAGTAGTACAGCCCGGCCGGGCGTGGCTCAGCGGTTGAGCGTCGACCTAGGATCCGGGCGATCGGGGTTCGATTCCCTGTCAGGGAACATGCCCGGGTTGAGGGCTGCAGCTGATCAATGACTCTCTCATCATTGATGTTTCTATCTCTCTCTCTCTCCCTCCTTTCCTCTCTCTGAAATCAATAAAGATATTAAAAATAAAAAATAAAAAGTAGTACATACATAAAATGGAATATTACTCAGCCGTAAAAAAAAGATTGAAACCTTGCCGTTTGCAATCACACAGATGGGCTTAGAGGGTAGTATGCTAAATGAAATAAGTCATACAGAGAAAGACAAATACTGTATAATTTTGCTTATATGTGGAATCTAAAAGGACAGAACAAAAACAAATGAACAAACAAAACAAAATAGCCTCATAGATACAGAGAACAAACTGATGGTGCCAGCGGGGAAGAAGAGTGGGGGAAGTGAGTGAAAAAGGTGAAGGGAGATAACAGGCACAAACTTCCAGTTATAAAATAAATAAGTCATTGGGAATATAATGTCCATCACAGTGAATATAGTCAATAATACCACAATAACCTTGTATGGTAATGGATGCTTACTAACTGTAGTGATCACAACATGAGGTAAGTGTCAAATCACTATGTTATATACCTGAAACTAATATAATATTGTATATCAACTATATGTTAATAAATAATAAATTTAAAAATATAAAATAAATAAAAGTCATTTTGGCATTAAAAAATGTACAATATTCAATTATACTCTATTCCATGTGTATTTACACTTTGGAGATGAAATGGGAACACCAGAGGAAAAGGCACACTTCAAATTCACACTTACTAGATTTGGTGAATGCTGCATTGACCTCATGGATGACAGGCTGGTCTGGTGCATGTACCCATAGCCTTGGGAATGGCTTTGCTGGTAGGCTCCAGGAAGAACAGGTGCTGCACATTAAATACACACACACATAGGTTCCTTAAAGCAAGTCTCGAAATCCCCCTCCCAACCCCTCAAGTGACTTCATGCTCTGCTAGAATCTTCTGAAACAAAAGGCCACTTCTTAGTGCAATGTGAAATTTGGATGGTGATGTTATAAGCAATCTCTAGTTTAGCATAAATTTCAGTACTTAAGGACATATATAGGGAATCAGTTAAACATGCAGTTAAAATATATTAGAAATATTTGTGTTACTCTATTGCAGTTGCTATATTAAAATAACACAAATACAAAAAAATTAATTTCCCATAACTCCTTAACAATATCAAATTTTTCACTTGGCCATGTGATCCTCTTAGGTGTTTCAAAAAGGAAAAGATATGTAAAGAAATTTAATTGGATTGTCAAACCAATGACAGAGTATAAATGTTTCACTGGATATTTCTCATATAACAGGATGCTCTGCGTATTTCAAGACATACAGCTGAATGTTACCTTTACAAAGATGGTAAGCACAGCATATTTTTAGCAACATATGTTTGTTTGGCAGTTAAGAAGTCTACACCATTAAGATAAACTTTTACTTAGAATATATAAATCTTACATTTTATTTTGGCTGTAAGTCAAGGCGAAATCAGTCAACTGAAGATGTTACAAGAGCCTGAGAAATGAAACCACTTAAAGAATGTCATAAACATTGTCCTTCTATATCAAAATAGTATTCACTTAGTTTATGCTGTTCTCACCACTAATTATGACATTCAAAAGACAGTTCCTGTTTTAAAGAACACAGAATTAGAGAAATCAACAGAGAAGCTAGATAAAAACCCCACAAAATCAGTAGATGTAGGCTTGTGTGTTTCTCTGTAAGTGCGTTTCAGTATCTGTAAGCAGAAATATGGGCTTTAAATGAGGGCATTTTAGTAGCATGTCCTTCATTCATTTTGAATTACTTATGTGATACATTAGTAAAACTTGTAGAATACATGTGCTGTAAAAATCCATAAGAGGTTCCCATTTTGTTCAATCAGGTTGAGTATATAAAATAATTATTATGGATTGATTTATTCAGGACAGTTTTTATAATAAAAGAATAAAGCAGATGTAATTTTGGGGTGTTATGAATAATTAATGTTTTATAAGTGGCACGTTCATTCTAATGATATGTGGGAATATCAAACTTTAAAAAAGTTTAATCATCAGAAAGTTATAAAACATTAATGTATTATCCTGATGATAATGACATTAGGTTGAAAGGGGATTTTTTAAATAGTTCTTAAATTAATTCATATTACAATGATGTAACAAATAGTCTTGACTTAATGTCTAGATGCAGCATCAAAGCGAAATTGCCAAGATCTTTATTTGGATTTGTAGTACATTATCAAGTTGTTAAAACATTAAACTTCAAATACTTCAGAAAATAACACTTTTTAATATTACCAACTCAATTTAAATATTTAATGTCAAGAGATGTGAAAGACATTGTCACAATTTACTCATGAAGAAAAATAATGAAATCTCCATAAGTACCTAGGCCCACCTAATTAGCAGAGTAAAAGAGCCTTTTCTATGTGTTGGAAACCAGATGCATTGATCATTCATTCACTCCCTCAACTCTAAGCAAATATTTAAGTGAGTTCATGTGTGCACAGGGCTTAATGCATTGCCTGTCACTTAGTAAACCTCCCTAAATGTTAACAGTTATCACTATCCACTATGTTCAAGGCATGCCAGGCATAAGAGGACCAACAAAAACAATTGTCCTCTCAGAGCAGTGATGGCCCTGGACATCTGCCCTTTGCCTAGTTAAAGAAATGACTCTGGATACTTAGGGAATTTCCAGTTAAAGATATTAGCCAGTAATTCCAACTGCGTATCCCAGATTGGCACTCCTAAAGAGGTTTTTACCCATTACACAAGTAATATCACTAACTATTATTTTAATCTATTTGTAAATATTAAGGTTTAATAAACAGCCCTATAAACTTGTTTAAAATAAGAATTAAACTTTTAATCCTTTGTTATGCTACTTAACTATGACCTTTAAGTTGTGATGTAGAGAGTTAAGCACAACCATCTCAAAATATTTTGGGAGGAAAAACTAACAGGAAAGGACAACAATAAAAAATAATGTTAAATATACTATCTCCCAGATGCTGTAATATGTTTATGCATCCACAGTATGTACCTAATCCCAGTTTAGTTCCCATCAGTACTAACAATTCAGGAATGTTGTTTAACAGTATTCTCTAATTTTGGCTTTTAAAAATCAAGTATGTTCGTGTCTACTCAATTGCTCAAGTTTGACCTAAGGGAATATGTAGTTATTGTCAAATGCAGCAGGAAATAAAAGTAATGTATTTGTCCTCAATATGCATGGGTTTGAGAGAGCAGGAGAGAAGGTGCCGAATGAGAAACCTTGGAGTAAATATCTAGTCCCTATGGTTGTTCTTCAAGCTTTTGTTGATTATTTGCACTTCCCTCTCTGGCTGCATTATTTAATGCAAGTTCCTTTGGTGTTATCAGACCTTAGTATCTGCTTTATACCTGGTACAATGAAAGAGTTTTTAGGAAGCTCCTATTAGGGTAATGAAAAACATAACTGAGAGCCCAGAGAAATCAACTTACTAAAAGCAAATGCCAATTTAAAAAGAGGCACAGTGATAAATGGTGATGGAAAGAAACTTGACTTGGGATGGTAAACACACAATACAACATACAGATGATGTATTATAGAATTGTACGATTGAAACCTATATAATTTTACTAACGAATGTCACCCCAATAAATGCAATTAAAAGTAAATAAAAAGAGGCACAGACATTGCTTTTTCATTGTTTTGTTACACAAATGCTTTTTATAAAACAGATAAAATTAAGCAAAAGGGAATTGGAAGCAATGGCTTTGGGTTTACTTGGTTAAAAGACAGTTGTCCATGTGAATCAGAGATTTCTTCCATGAAAATACGAAATTCAAAGGATTGTGCAAAAGCTAGATGTTAGGCTAACTTCACCACAAGCAAGGGCTTCTTATGAAAAACACAGCGCCCGCTTTATTACCTGGCGGTCAGGCCCCACAAGCACATAAAAGTCATAACACAATAGCTTTTGTTATCCTAAGGCAAAAATAAAACACAGACGTGGGCCTCAACTTTCATTTCGTATTGGGGAGATTTATTGACCAGAGATCTGGAAGCTGACAAGAGCTCCAAGGGCTTCAGGGTCGATTTGGAGTGTCCTGCTGCACTTATAAAACCCAAATCTCACTACCGCATGATAAAGCCCTTCCACAATCGGCCAGGACTAACAGTTTCCATTTAATGTTTATTCTTAGGATGGGAGATATAACCAAGAAGAAGTAAGTAAAAGTGAGGATCATAAAACAGAAGGTGAAAATAGAGGAAGAAAATTTTTAGGAGGCTTCACAAATCGGAAAATGAAAAAAATGAAGAAATGCATGCAAAGATACAAAGATTAAAGTAAATGAACAACAACAAAAAAAGTACCTATGATGAAAGGAGAAAGGACCCAAAAAGAAGTCCATTTTGGGGGATGTGCCCAGAGTAGGTGAAAGGAGAGAAGGGTATTATGTAAGTGTCTTCAGGGTGTAAGGATCTTTTATGTTATCTTTTCATTATCAGAACTACCCTTTTAGATAGTTACATTCCCACTTTACAGAATAAAAATAGAGCAGCTGACAGATTAAGCAGGAAGGCAGAACAATTACCTCTGCACAGTGACAGGACAAGGTCTCCGGTCATTAGAGATGAGGGAGAGATTTGAAAACCACACCATGATTATAGGGTAACAGTGGGTGGCCAAACTCCAAATGCAAAAAATAAAAATAAAAATAGTGCTTTATGGATGTCTTGGCCCTTTGGATGTGTGGCTATAACAAAATACCACAGACTGGGCGGCTTAAACAATAAGCACTTATGTCTCACAGTTCTAGAGACTGGGAAGTCCAATATTAAGGTGCCAGCAGGATCAGTATCTGGTGAGTTCCGGCTTCCTGGTTCAAATCTCTGTGTCCTTCTGTGGCAGAAGGGGACAAGGGAGCTCTCTGGAGTCTCTTTTATACAGACACTAAATCCCATTTATGAGGGCTCCACTCATGACCTAATCACCTCCCGATAACATTACGTTGGGAATTAGATTTCAACGTGAATTTTGGAGGGGGTTGGGGGAAGACACAGTAGCTAACTATAGACTTAACACAAACAGAGAAAATAATCTGGGAGATTTTCTCATAGGCTTACTTCTTGAAAAATCCAAAATAGGAGAAAATCACCAGAAGTTTTCCAATAAAGAATATGGTTTTATCAGCTAATGCATGTCAAAAAAAAAGGTTTTTTTGTTTGTTTTAGTACAAAGAATCTCTAAACTATTACAGGGGAATTGCTAAACTGAAAGAAAATGTAAATATAAAAGAAAAAGTATAAAGATGCTGCTAGGTCTGAACAAAATATTAAATAGGTCCTAACTAGATCTCATCTAGGCCATGAGCAAGGTGGCTGAGTGATTGGTAATAAGACGGGCCTGTGACATGGACCTTTCCCACATGCTGTGCAGAATTCTGTGGCAGAACCCAGTCTTCATGACATATGATTCTCCCACACACCACAGGTGGGTACTAAATCCAGCAGCAAATGCTATTTTTTAATCTAAGAGAATTCCTAGTAGTATAGAAAATGCTTCTCCTCCCCTGCAGAAAACAGAAACAAGCCAGGGTGCCTGTAGGTTTGGAATTGTTGGGGGTTCTTTTGTTTTTTAAAGAATTTTTGTGAGTTTATTTGAGCCAAACTGTTGACAAATGCAGGGAAACAGAACCTCAACAGATTGAGGTAATGCCCCGAAACTGCTGGTTTTTAATGATAAGCTGAGAACACATAGCTGCCTAAGAAGCACACTTGCTACTTAATAAACTGCTAACATCAAAATGAAATGATCAACAACAGAGTTAAAACCAACAAGTTTTAAAGACATGCATAATCATGTAATCATC